CGCATGTTCCCCACAAGATCATCCCCTGTTGCTAAGACCAGGTCAAGCAAGGCACTACCCCTGGTGGGACTAGACACCACCTGGGTTAGGTGGAGGTCCTGTACACAGTGTAAGAACCTCCATGAGTGGTTTGTTTTGGCTGTCTGCTCCTCCCACCAGATGTCTGGATAGTTTAGATCTCCCATGACCACCGCCTCCCTTGCCTATGTGGCGTCTGCTAGCTGCCCGGAGAATACATCGTCTAGCTCTTGATCCTGATGAGGAGACCTGTAGTAGACCCCCACAACCAAGTCCTTTTCCCCTGGCCCTCCCTGGATCCTGACCCACAATGCCTCGGTGTTCCCCTCCTCCACCCCCGCCTTAATGGTGGAAGACGTATACTGCTCCTTAACATAGAGTGAAATCATGGGATTTCTTCATTTATAACAAAGACTCCTTCCAGCTTTTTAACCCCATTGAAGGAACATTCTGTACAGTTCAGGAATCTTTCTCATTTGCAAATCACATGGGAAAATAATGCAGAGCTCTTGGGTTTCTCCTACACTTCTTTGTATGATGAAAACATCCAGAGTCACTGCAAGGACTGAGGGAAGAAGGAAAAGAAATCCTCATGCTTCAGGGCACCAGTAAACTTCAGAATAATGAGCATCAGAAAGATGATTCCCTGGACGGGGGCTATCCCAGAATGGCCGGTCTGTTCTGAAGTAGCTGGTACTAGCCACTGTCGCAAATAGGATAGAATAGACCATGGGTGTGCTTCTGCCCAACAGCCCCCACATAGTTTTCTCTCCTTGGAGGACCATGGGGACCTGATGCTTGTCTGCACAAATGGTCTCTTGATTTATTTCAGCAATACCAGCAATCGGGCCCATGGCACGGGATGTGGACAGCCTGGCTCTGTACATGAGGGCACTCCTGTGTGATGACTTATTCCGCCTAGATTCTTCTGTGCCTCCAATGCCCTTCAAGGAGGAGGTAAAGTCCCAAAAAGATCTCTGTAGAGGGAAGAAGGGGTCCAGGAGTGTACCACTGATGAGCAGCTATTATTCTACACCTTTGAATACAGAATGATAACATGGAAGCACACTAAGCTTTGCAACCTCCCTGAGGGTAATACTGTATTTCCTTGTATACAGAAACTGCCATTACCATATTTCCTCACTTATAGCACGCACTCCAGTTTCCAGCAGCTACATTTTGGAAAAAGGGGGGTGTTGTATGCAAGATCACATGGTATTATCCTCCCTGTTTTTCCAGTTTGGAAAGTGAGACACACAGGGTGTGTCTACATGTGCATCATTCCTGTGTAGTAACTTAGGTTACTGCACAGTAACTGAAAATCACTGTGCAGTACAGGTGCACGTCTACATGTGCATGCCCATACTTCTCAGTAAGTATGGTGACTTACACTGACTCAGGAGTAAATTTGCTACCTGCATAATGCAGGTAGCAAATTTACTCCCAAGTACTTACTGAGCATCAAGGCACGTGTAGATGCCTTACTGTGCAGTAACCCTGTTTGTATGGACTGACTTGGAGTAACTTTACTCCCAAGTCAATGCACACACAGCATTACTGTGCTGTAACACCTACATGTGTAGACGCCAGTCTAAAAACCATTTATTGCACAGTAATTTACTGTGCAGTAAGTGCACATGTAGACATGCCCACAGAGAAGGACTTAGTTGCTTGAGCCTTTGACCTCCAAGCTCTGCCAATCTTTTGCCTTAAACCCTGAGATCCTTTTTATAGTCAATGCACCCCTGCCTGTGAATTCTCTGCCTTTCAAAGCAATAAGGGGAACCTATTGGGTTGATTTTGCTAAGTGTATTACATTCCCAGTATTGAGACATTAGAAATGACTGTTCCTGCCAGTTTTGAAAGCCTTTCTTTGGTTCCTGACACCACAAATGACTCTCTTTCTTCCACCCCAGGTGTATGCCAGTTCAAGGCCTCTCCGCATAGGGTATCACGATACAGATAGTTTAACATTGGCCACTCCTTCCATGAGACGTGCAGTTCTGGAGACCAAGAAGCTTCTAGAGGATGCCGGCCATACGGTAATCCTTGGAACTGTGGCACTGTTTGGGAGAGGGCACATGAGCATCAGTCATGGAACAGGACCCCTATGGTGCTTGGTGCTGTAAAAGACTTTTTGGTCTAAAGACTTTTTGGTCTTAGACAAGACAAAGATGAATGGCACAAGGAGGCAACAAGGTGTTACTGGTCAGCATTCAATGTCTCGTGTGCCATCTTGGCATCCATGGGAAACTTGCCATTTACATTTAAGCAGGCTTTTAGAACCTCCTTGACAGGGTGCATAGAGGTGTGACTGAACCATGTGGACACCCCTTGAATTTACAACAGAGTCAGACCATAGTCATACATGCCAACCCATGGCACATAACTGCAAGGTCAGCCTGTGATGAAGTCCATGAGGCTTTGCTGTTATTAATACTCAAGCAAACACATATGCTTTAAAATGTTGCAGTTGGACTGGAAGCTGTAACATGGACAAACCCCATAGGTTCATTCTGTAAGTACCTCAGTGAAATTATCACTTTTATATCAACAGATTTGTCTATTAACTTGTGCATCTCATGGGTGGGGGTGTGTTTCATAGTTTCATAGTTGTTTCACAGTTGGTAGGGTCGGAAGGGACCTGAGCAGATCATCAAGTCCAACCCCCTGCCACGGGCAGGAAAGAGCGCTGGGGTTAAATGACCCCAGCGAAGTGTTCGTCTAACCTCCTTTTAAAGACCCCCAGGGTAGGAGCCAGCACCACTTCCCTTGGAAGTTGGTTCCAGGTCCTAGCCACCCTGACAGTGAAGTAGCGCCTCCTGATGTCTAGTCTGAATCTGCCCTCTGCCAGCTTGTGACCGTTATTTCTAGTCACTCCTGGGAGTGCTCGGGGGAACAGGGCCTCCCCCAATGCCTGCTGGTCCCCCCTGACTAATTTGTAAACGGCCACTAGCTCCCCCTCAGCCTTCTCTTGTGGAGGCTGAACAGGTTCAGGTCCCTCAGTCTCTCCTCGTACGGCCTGCCCTGCTGACCCCTGATCATGCGGGTGGCCTCCTCTGGACCCTCTCCATGCTGTCCACATCCCTACTGAAGTGCGGCGCCCAGAACTGGACGCAGTACTCCACCTGCGGCCTGACCAGTGCTGCATAGAGGGGGAGGATCACCTCCTTGGACCTGCTCGAGATGCATCTGTGGATGCATGACAAGGTGCGGTTGGCCTTCCTGACCGCGTCCCCACACTGTCGGCCCATGTTCATCTTGGCATCAATAATGACTCCAAGATCCTTGTGGGGGTGTGTGCAGTCACTGAAAAATAGAACTTTCTTAAAACCCTCTAGTGTCTTTTCACAGAATCATAGACAGTGAGGGCTGGAAGGGAGCTCAGGACGTGACATCTAGTCCAACCCCCTGCTCCAAGCAGGACCAGCCCCAACTAGATCATCCCAGCCAAGGCTTGGTCTACCTGGGTCTTGAAAACCTCCAAGGATGGAGACTCCCCCATCTCTCTGGGCAGCCTGTTTCAGTGTTTTACTACCCTCCTCATGAGACAGTTTTCCCTAATATCCAACCTCAACTTCCCTTGCTGCAGCTTCAGCCCATTGCTCCTTGTCCTGCCGTCTGCCCCCACTGTGAACAGTCCAGCTCCATCCCCTTTGCAGCCCCCCTGCAGGGAGCTGAAGGCTGCTATTCAATCCCCCGCAGTCTTCTCTCCTACAGACTAAATAAGCCCAGTTCCCTTGGCCTCTCCTCACGAGTCATGTAAACTCAACTCTTTTGGAAGAGTTGAGTTTAAAAGAATAGTATGTGCTAAATATTTTTTTCTTTTAATTTCCCCATGTAGAAAGTTGTATTACAGTGACAGAATTCTAGAGGAAACAAAAAAACCCCAAAAAACAAACTACTGAACAGATCCTCTTTCCCAGCAAACCCCTTGTGACTTTAGAAGAATTTCTTTCAAACCCTGCTCATTTCCCCAATGTGTGGGAGATTGCATATGAAAATACTCACGTATGACATCAGAACTCTTGTTCCCGGTCTTGCTTCCAATGTGCTTTCTAACAACAACACAGGGTGCATGGATCACTTGATGCCTGTACACCTGTTTTTATGATGGCCTAGGCTCTCTGTTGGAAATCAATACCACTATATCCAGATCTAAAATGTCTGTGGACTCAAGCTTACAACTGTGCAGTGCCGAGTAATTAGCTTTGGAAATGGTTCCTATCCCTATTTTTCAAATGCTGGGTGTAAACGAGCCATTCAAACCTAGAAGTGCTTAGTTAACTTCCATCAAAAGTCTAAATTTTAAGTAAAAAACTCACTGGCCCGCCCAAGCAGTATCTGCCAGCCTTTCACACTCTCAAACCCTGACACCATCCCAGGCTGCAGCAGCCAGCTGGACTAATGGCAAGAGACATGAGCCTTTGATCATTTGCATTTGTTCGTCTCTGTTCTGTGCGGCTCATGGTGCTCTTATCTCTAGACTCACTGCCTTTCCCCTTGTTTGCTTTTTTAGCTGGTGCCTTTCAAACCCCACTTCTCAGAGGACTTTTTCTTTAACGTTTGCCTAACGGGATTATTTGCAGATGGAAGTTCCACATATGTGGACAACTTGTAAGTACAACCTTCAGCAAGTGTGTGTGTTTGTGTGTGTGCACGTGCACACATCTATCTCTAAGTAAGTGCTCAGGCATATAAGAGGTGAGTAGGCAATATTTTTCCTTTGTTTAGTTCAATATAAACAGGGATAAAGGACATTCTGTTGATCAAGGCCAAGTGACAAAGTTGGGAGGGACAGGGAAGGGGCAGCCCATGAATTCAAGTGCTGGATTGGTATGTGGTGAACCTGAGTGGAGTGCTAGCATCATTAGGCAAGTGCTAGCCCCACTAGGCAAGGCATTGAATTTCTTTTTGCCTCTGTTTCCTGTTTGTGAGGGAAGGATCAGCTCATGGGGTTGTGAGGAAGATAATCTCATTCTGTGAGCAGCTCCAAGAATGTGCTGATGGTGGCTGACAACCACCAAAAATGAGCACCTCCAGGGCTAGGGACAGACATTCAAAGAGCCTGAGCCTGAATAGATTCAATCTTTTCAGTTTAGTCTAACCTGGCTAGGCTGAACCAGCTTATAACGTACAGACATCCCCTGTGGACTGAAGAAATGCAGGCACATGCTTGCAGTGGCTCAGGCTAGAAGTTGGGGGGTGCTAGAGTGGCCCTCCCTTCCCTTCCATAGTGCTGAGCTGGGGGGGGCGGGGCACGTGGCCAGGCCCTGACAGGACCTCTGATTAGGGAGAGGTGTAAATCCCCACCGTGGCCTGCACCATCTCAGGTTTTTCCCGCAGTGGCTGTACTCTGAGGCAAAGGTGGGGTGTGCAATGCATGCATCTGTTGATGATACAAAGCTTTTCAGTCTCCCTATCTCTGACAGGGCTGCAAACCTGCAGGTGGGTTAATAAAACCACAATGTTATCTCAACCCATCAGCAAACCACTGTGTTAGTAGCCCATCAGCAAAACAAAAGCCTTTCTCATTAGTTCAAGCTCTTCTTAAACAGCTTTTTCCAAGGAAGGAATGGAGGGACATTACCAGCTGCCTTGTTGATTAGCTCCAAAAAGCCCCAAGTAGACACTGTTCTGTCTGCCTGTCCCAGTGAAAGTGAAGGCCACACACACAGACACCTCTCAGCATTAGCTAGCATACCACATGCCTAGGGTCCATGGGGCTGGGGTCCATGCTGTGGGAGATGGGAGGGAGGAAGGGGACAATCTCTGTTTGAGCAGTGAGCAGTGAGGGGTAGGTGGGGCAGGGGGAAGCCAGGCAGACCCTGCTGTACCTCCACTCTCCCCCAGCTCTGGCTAGAAAGGAGAGGGGCAGGGCCAGCCTGTTTTCTGGAGCAGACAGAACAGCAAAGCCTAGCCCAACTCAGCCCAACCCTGGGGCTGCAAAGCATCTGGGATGCTGGAGGACTCTGGTTTAACTTGAACCAGGAAGGGGTCTGGAACAGACTTTGCATAAACCGGTTTGACCCAAACCAGTTAAGTCTGATACTACTTTCAATCAAGTTTATCTTAAACCACTTTCAGCCATTTTGAACCTGGTTTATGTGCACTGAACTTATGTTCTGTTGCAGGTTTAAACCAGTTTCTGATCACTTAAACCAGTCTGTGTGTAATGTCTGTCCCTAGCCCAGAACACCAGGAGGTTAATTTGAGTTGGACCGTGGCTCAGTTGATTGGTTCAGGGATGTTACATATCCAGGCACAAATTCCTGTTGAAACCAAATAGGTTTGAGTATCTGGAGCTACTGCTTTCCAAGGGAGAACGTCCTGGTGTTAAGAGGCTGGAGAAAAGGCTCAGTGATAAAGCAGATGAAATGTCCCACCCTGGCATCAGAGGGGCGAAATACCACTGATACAGCTGTCAGTGGGCACTCAGTTATTTGGGCAGAGGATTTGAAGTCGGACAGATGTGGTGCTGGATATCCCTATCTTGTGTGCCCTTCACTTAGGTGGGCCGTCCTGCCCAGCAGGCTGCTAGACTCAGGTAGCCCAGTGACCTTGAGATACCTAGAGAGCCCAGCTGAGAAACGTGATCCTTTACTATACCCTCCCAAGAGGCAGCTAGTAAAATTGCTGAGGTGGTAGCTACTGCCTGCTTCAACAAATGCACTGTTCTCTTTCAGCAAAGGGGAGTTGAAGGAACCTTATGCCAGACAGTTTCTTCTGATGACCAAGATGCCTGATTGGTTTAAAAAACTCATATCCTGGATCACCGGACCAATAGTAAGATGTGTTTAACCTGCATTGACTTCTTAGCCGGCTGGTGACTAACCTGAGTACTGAGAGGCTGACTCAGGGGATGTCTTCCTGGCTTGATGCCGCGGGCTAGCTTGGGCTTTTGGAGCAGGATAGCCATGTTAGCACTGTGCTCTGTCTGGGCAGATATCCCCTGATTCTCACCTAGCGCTTCATGTGGCATGGTATTGCACCGCATAGACATCCTCTTTTTTTACAGCTCAAAGGCATCTTACTGCTGGCATAAATTCAGCACCATCACTATAAGGCAGTGATTGTCAACCAGAAGAAGTGCTCTATTGGGCATAGACAGAAGTGACAATTTTCACCCAATCTGGCCGCAGAAAACAATTTATAACTGTGACCAAACACAAGCGCACAGCTACAGGCAGCTTCAAAAATGTTGCGTTGGATGAAAATCTGACCCCTCCCTGCATGAGGTATCAGAATATGGTGTTTCAAAGTGTAACGTCTTCTGTAACTTCTGTCTGTGCTGCGTGTGTCCTCTCTGACTCGGCTCTGATTCAAAGAGCTCCTGAGATAAATATCATACAAAGGGAAGAACAGAGTTAAAAGACAAAAGGAAAAGCTAATTTTTTGATTGCCGTTCACAGGCAAGGGAATAGTAACTATATTCCATACGTGGCTGGTCACTTTTGAGCTCGACTGATTTCCATCTGAGTTGTTTTCCATCAGGTGAGAAAGGAAGTCATTCCACTAAGCCAATGCTAGGGATTTTTGTCTGTCAGTCTCTAGGAGGACTTAGGACTCACCTTGTGTCTGCATGAGATACACAAAGAGTCATGGCCACCTCTAGTCTACTTTGAGTAGAAAAATGGGTTCACCTCTCTCAAATAGGGGGAGTAAGGCACTTTCTTCTACTTAAACACAACCCATACCTAGTGCTACATGAAACACTTGTCTCTGAAGTAGGTAGAATAATGTAGAAATGGGCTGACGGAGGGGAAAGAACAAATACCAATAACTTTGTGGATGAGTGTTTTTTGTCCCTCAACAGAGTTGGCTGAATGTGCAAGGCCATATTTCTCCCAGTGCATGGTTAATCACATGCCTGGCAATAAATCAGTTCAACAACTTGGGGAAGGCAGGGGAGGAATGTCCTTTTAATCTTATTTGTTGTATTTGCAATGAAACCAAATTAAATTCATGCTATTTGGGGTTTCGAGCAACACTCGGCCCATCTTTGCCAAAGTTTAGCCATAGTCATAGCCCCTTGTAGGCTGGGTGTGTTGCTGTAACACATCTAGACCCCAGCCTGGTAGTTCTGTAAAGACACTTCATAAAAAAGAATAGAATCATAGAAAGTGAGGGTGGGAAGGGAGCTCAGCAGGTCACATCTAGTCCAACCCCCTGCTCCAACATGGAGCAGGGGTTGGACTAGACCAAGCAGGACCAGCCCCAACTAGATCATTCCAGTCAAGCTTTTGTTGAGCTGGCTTTGTTTAAAACCTCCAAGGATAGACACTCCACCACCTCTCTGGGTAACCTGTTCCAGTGCTTCACCATCCTCCTAGTCAGAGAGTTTTTTTTCCCAATAGCCAACCTCAACTTGCCTTGCTGCAGCTTGAGCCCATTGCTCTTTGTCCTGTCATCTGCCCCCACTGAGAGCAGTCCAGCTCCATCCTCTTTGCAGCTCCCCTGCAGGGCGTTGAAGGCTGCTATTCAATCCCCCTCCATCTTCTCTTCTGCAGACTATCCCAGTTCCCTCAGCCTCTCCTCACAAGTCGTGGGCCCCAGCCCCTTAACCTTTTCGATTCCCTTTGCTGCACTCTCTCCAATGTGTGCACATCCTTTCTGTAGTGGGGGATCCAAAACTGGACACAGGACTCTGAAAATCACTGTCCCAAAGAACATCCGGTTCAAATGGGCCTGGCAGACAATCAGTGAGAGAAATGGAGTAGGGGTGTTCTTTCCAAGATGACATAACCAGAAAATAAATCAAGGGATCCTAACCCTTCCAACAAGCTTGAAATGACATTGTCTCCCTAGGCTGACAACAGAACCCAGGAGTCCTGACTCCCATCCCCTGCTCACACCAGTAGGCAACCTGCCCCATCCAAAATTCATATTTGGTTTAGCCAGATTCATTTGAGATGTTCAATAAATGAATTAAACATACAAATGTTCATGTTTCATGTCCTCCTTTTTTTCTTCTTCTTAGATACCTCGGTTATCAAAAATGTTGGGAAACCTGGTGACCAGGTGAGTAACTCCAGGAGGGCTGAGTAAATGTATAAGGGCGCAGCTTGACATTTGGGGTTTAACAATTAACACCATAACATTATATTTGTAAATCAGCCTTTTGTTACTTAAAATAATAATCAAAACAGCACACACCAAGGGAGGCTGCTACTAAGTGGGTGTGTCTGCATGAGACATTTACTGCGGAGCTGACTAGTTAACACTGCAGTAAATGTTTCAGCATCTTCACATGCGGCCTTCTTAGGCCACAGTAAACTAACAAACTCTGCCGTAGGATAGTACTTGTAAGTAATGCACGTGTAGATGCTGACCCGGCTGACTGGAGCATCCTCGTGCCCCAGCCAGCCCCTCCACAGCACGTTGAACTGGATCTGTTCCAACCCAGCTTACCGTGCTGCACTCCCCAGCATGATTTCAAATGCAGTGCCCAGGAGCATTAAACTCTGGCGCAATGTGCACCAGAGTTTATTTCTGCACCCTACTTGCACATGTAGACGCATTCAATTGGTTCCTCAGAAGAAACCCAACTCCTAGCCATGCCAACAAAACTTCCAAGCTTGCAGCCACAGGAGATTTGACAAACAAGTCCTAGTCTTGTGAAGAAATACTCTTCTCAGTGGATTAGTGGTTGATTTGGGTCTATGCTGCCCTCCCCGAATAAGGTGTGGTGCAGTTTGCAATGAAAAAGTGATTATAAGCAATTATACATTAAGGAATAAAACTATTCCCTGGGCAATATCCCAACACTGAACCCCTCCTGCTAAATTCCTGCTCAAATAGGAAGGCCTTATAGCACTCGTGAAAGATATCCAGACTTGCGCTATGACAAGACTCAAGGGGAAGGAAGTTCCAGGTTTGAGGTATGGCTACTGAGGATAACCTCCCAAAGTGAACTTGGCCCATTCATGGTATTTGTGGGAGGTCTCTCTAGGCTGACCTTAGGTATCGTGATGATGCATAAGGGAGGAGACAGTTCCTTAGTGTGACGTCGGCAGGCCTCACGTCCGGTACCGCCCTTCATCCGGTAGCCCCTCCCCCTCGTCCCTCCTGCCACAACTTTGATGTTATAGGTGATTCGAAGGAGGGGTTCAGTGGAGATCTTCTACTAGAGGGGCTTACCTGATGTGGGGTACTCACGGTTGAGGTCCTCCGGTGTTCCACGGGGCTCCGCCACCCCTACACCCCGTCCACTCGCCAACCGGTCACTGGCTGATGAGATGGTTGTCTGCCGTTACCTGCAGACCTTCTTGCTGGCAGGCCCTCCCGACCGTGGGGTCCGAGGCCAACGGTCGTCTTCAGTCAGCCCACCTTAGACTCTGACTGACCCGGCCGCTAGCTCAGGTTATTTCTCTCTCCTCTCCCCTGATCTCAGAAATAATATTCCTCCGGGATGGGGAGGCTTCCCGGATCACTGCCCTGGTCCCAGCAACCCCTGGGGACCACTCCTTCTTCCCCTGCCAGAGTTTCCAGCTCTCGCCTCAGCTGCTGGGTTGACGCCGAGTTGCCTGCCTGAGACTCTGGCTCCGGGGAAGCCACAGCAGCAGTGACGTGCTGCACGCCTTCTCTCTCCCTCTCTGGCTTCCCCCCCACCGCAGGGTTTGCTGGGGTTTTTAAACTCCCCATGCCTGCCGCTGTGGCTGCTGCGATTGGTGCAG